CGCTCAGCCAGTGAGCGGGAACCGGTCTCCACGTGGGATCTGAACCCTCGGGGGGAGCGCTGCCGCGCTCCCAAGCGGCGCACTCTCCAGTGCGCCACCGGGCTGGCCCTGTGTCTTAGCTTTTAACAAAAAAGTTTAAAAAGTTAAAAAAAAAATAATGGAGAAAAGCTTATAGAATAAGGATATAAAGAAAGGAAATATTTTTGTACAGCTGTAAAATGTGTATCTTTTTTTAAGCTAAGTGTTATTACAAGAGTCAAAAAAATTTAAAAGCATTAAAATGTTTATAAGGTAAAAAAGTTAAAGTAAGCTAAGATTATTTTATTATTGAAGAAAAAATTTTTTTCATAAATTCAGTGTAGCCTAAGTGTACAGTGTTTAGAAAATCTACAGCAGTGTACAATAATGACCTAGGTCTTCACCACTCACTCACTGACTCATCCAGAGCAACTTCCAGTCTTGCAAGCTCGAATCATAGTAAGTGCCCTATACAGGTATACCACTTTTTAATCTTTTATACCATATTTTTACTGTATTTTCCTATGTTTGAATACATTTAGATACACAAATACTTACCTTTATGTTACAATTGCCTACAGTATTCAGTACAATAACATGTTGTACAGGTTTGTAGCCTAGGAACAACAGACTATACCATATAGCATGGGTGTGTAGTAGGTTTTACCACCTAGGTCTATGTAAGTATACTCTATGATGTTCACACAACAATGAAATCACCCAGTGACACATTTCTCAGAATGTACCCTTGTTGTTAAGCAATGCATCACTATGTGGTCAAAGAACTAAGAAAAATACAGGGAAAAATAAAGAAAAATAAGCAGTGCTTTAGAGAAATGTGGTATACCATTAAACACATTAACATGCACATAATGAGAGTAGAAAAGGATAGAGAGAGAGAGAGAGAAAAATACTCAATGAAATAATGACTGAAAACCTCCCAAATTTAAAGAAAAACACTATACATTCAAGAAGTTGATTGAAATCCAAGTAGGAAAAGTGGAAGAAATCCATACTAAGACACATCATAGTCAAAACGTTGAATGTGAAAGATAAAAAGAAAATCTTGAAAGCAGCAAAAGAAAAACAATGCATTGTATAGAAGGGAACCATAATAAGATTGACAGCTGGCCTGCCATTAAAAACAATAGAAACCTGAAGGAAGCAGGATGACATATTTACAGAGCTGAATTTTAAAAAGTATCAATAAAGAATTCCATATACAGCAAAGTTATCCTTCAAAGATGAAGGTGAATGGAGACTTAAGCCAGGGTGAAAAAAAAATGAAGGTGAAATAAAGACATTCTAACATAAACGAAAACTGAGAGAATTTGTTGGTAGTAGTCCTGCCTTACAAGAAATGCTAAAAGAAGATGTTCAGGCTGAAAGGAAGTGACACCGAACGTTAATTCAAATTCTCACAGAGAAAGAGTTCCAGTAACAATAAGTATGTAGTTAATGATACAAGACAGTATAATTACATACTTCTTACCCTTTCTTCTATTAACTAATTAAAGACAATTGCATAAAACAATATCTATAAAATCTTATTATTGTGCCTATAACATATATAAACATATTTGACAATAATAACACAAAGGAGTTGGGTAGGAATTAAGCCATATGTGAATAAGAAAATAACATCAGATAGTAACTTGAATCCACAAAACAAATGAGAGAACCAGAAATGGTAAATAAGAAAGAATATATTTCTTTATCTATAACTCTCTATAGATGTATACATATAGATATATATGCATGTACAGAGATAGAAGTATTTTTAAATATGTTTATATTCTCCTTTATTCTACTAGCTTCTTTAAAAGATGTAAGATTATATAAAACAATAATTATGACAATATATTGTGTTTGTAACATATATAGACATAATACATACAACAAAAATAGCACAAGAAGTGTTGGTAAAGGGAATGGAACTATGCATGAGTAAAGTTTCTATACCTTACTGGAATTTAGTATAAAATCTGAAGTAGATTCTGATAAGTTAAGATGTATATTGTTATCCCTACAGCAATCACTAAGAAAATAACTAAAAAAAAGTTCAAAAACTCATTAAAGGCATTAATATGATACACTTGACAAAGCTCACTTAATACAAAGGAAGGTAATAAAAAAGGAAAAGAGGAACAAAATAGTCATGAGACATACAGAAAACAAAATGAATTTTAAAAATACAGAAACAATGGCAGACACAAACACAACCATAAGACAATAACATTAGATGTAAATGGATTAAACAAGCCAATCAAAAGGCAGAGGTTGTCAGAGTGTATTAAAAAAAATTACAGAAATCAAGTTCCAACAATATGCTTGCTCACTGTAAGAGATGCTCTTTAGAGTCAAAGATATATATAGGTGAACATAGAAGATTTGAAAGAGATATGCCATGCAAATGGAACCATAAGTAAGCTGAGATGGCTATACTAGTATCAGACAAAATAAACTTTTAGTAGAAATAAAGGGGAATATTTTATAATGATAAAAGGGACAATCCATTAGGAAGATATAATAATTATAAATATATATGTATTTAACAATAGAGCCCCAAATACATAAATGAAAAATGGATAGGTCTAAAAGGAGAAATAGATAATTCCACAATAATAGGTTGAGACTCTAATAAGCTACTTTCAATAATGGGTAAAATAATCAGGCAGAGAATCAGAAAGGATATTGAAGACTCAAACAACACTAGATATAACAGCCATGTGTAGAACACTCCACCCAATAATAGCAGAATACACATTCTTTTCAAGCATAGATGGGACATTGTCTAGTATAGACCACCTGTGAGGCCATAAAACAAATCTCAATAAATATAAAAGGATTAAAATTATACCAAGTATATTCTTATGTTACAATGGAATTAAACCAGAAATCAACAACAGTAAGAAATTTGGGAAATTCACAAATATGTGAATTTAAATTAAACAACACACTCCTAAATAACCAATAACTCAAAGAAGAAAAATTTAGTCAAAAGGAAATTGGAGGGCCGGCCTGGTGGCGCACTGGATAGTGCGCCGCTTGGGAAGCGCGGCGGCGCTCCCGTCCGAGGGTTCGGATCCCACATACGGACCGGCTCCCGCTCACTGGCTGAGCGAGGCGCGGGAGCAACGCCGAGGCTTGCAATCCCGTTGCCGGTCCCCGGTCCGGTACGGGGGCAACGCAGAGGGTTGCTATCCGTTGCCGGACACGGAAAAAAGACAAAAAAAAAAAAATTTAGTAAAAGGGAAATGGGGGGGCCGGCCGGGGGGCGCACTGGATAGTGCGCCGCTTGGGAAGCGCGGCGGCGCTCCCGTCCGATATGTGGGTTCGGATCCCACATACGGACCGGCTCCCGCTCACTGGCTGAGCGAGGCGCGGGAGCAACACCGAGGCTTGCAATCCCGTTGCCGGTCCCCGGTCCGGTACGGGGGCAACGCAGAGGGTTGCTATCCGTTGCCGGACACGGAAAAAAGACAAAAAAAAAAAAAAAAAAGGAAATTGGAAAATAATTTGAGATAAATGGAAACAAAACCCCAATATGGCTAAACTTATGGGATGCAGCAAAAGCAATGCTTAGTGAAAAATGTATAGTTATAAATGTCTTTTTTTTAACGAAAGGAAGTTCTCAAACCAATAATCTAGCTTTTTATGTTAGAGAACTAGAAAAAGAAGAGCAACCTCAACCCAAAACAAGCTGAAGGAAGGAGATCATAAGAATTAGAGTGGAAAGTAATGAAATTGAGAATAGAAACATTTTATTTTATTTTTTTATTTTTTTGTCTTTTTGTCTTGTCCGGCAATGGATCGCAACCCTCAGTGTTGCCCCCGTACCGGACCGGGGACCGGCAACAGGATCGCAAGCCTCGGCGTTGCTCCCGCGCCTCGCTCAGCCAGTGAGCGGGAGCCGGTCTGTATGTGGGATCCGAACCCTCGGACGGGAGCGCCACCGCGCTTCTCAAGCGGCGCACTATCCAGTGCGCCACCGGGCCGGCCCGAGAATAGAAACATTTTAAGTCAACAAAACCACAAGTTGGATCTTTGAAAAGATCAACAAAATTGACAAACCCTTTGCTAGATGGACAAAGCAAAAAGAAGGCTCAAATAACTAAAATAAAAAAATAGAAATGGGAACTACCAACCTTACAGAAATTTTAAAAACAACATTGTAAGAGAAGAACTGTGTGCCAACAAATTATGTAACTTAAATGAAATAGACAAATTCCTAGAAAAACACAAACTACTGAAACTGACTTAAGAAGAAATAGAAAATATTAATGTATCTATAATAAGACAGAGATTAAATTAGTAATCCAAATAATCCCCCAAAAGAAAAGCCCAAGGTTAGATGGCTTCAATGGTGAATCCAACCAAACATTTAAAGAATTTACACCAATCCTTGTTGTATATACTAATTATCCTGATTTGAACATCATATATTGCTTAGGACTCAAGGTTTAAGAAGATACTGAACTACGATGAACAATATTAGAACTCTTCATTTTGGTCACAGCATTTTATTTATTATTTTTGTTACTTTGAAAACTTTTAACCTGTTTAAATATGAATGCTCTAATTTATAAAATTATATTATAAACTGTCTCACTTGTGTGTCTCAAAGGGTAGAAGAGGAGATTAAATACAGTGGTGGTAAAAATGGTAATAAGAAACAGTATGAAAATAACTGGAAGAGAAGAAGAAAGCACGCTACATAAGCATAAAATGCATAAAGGTAGAAAAGGTATACTGCTAGAATCCTTGCCTAAAACCTGCCCAATCATTCCACAGATACATGTGATAGTTTTATGGAGGTCAGAGAGAATAATGATTTAGAAATTACAGCTCTGAAGCGAAGTCCTGGATTATAAGTTTTCATCTCATTAACACTTATTAGCTAGTTGTCTTGGCGATAGTAACTTACGAAAGCCCTTATTCATCTGTAAAATGGGGATAATAACAGTGCTTACATTGTGAGCTATATGAGAAATAAATTAAAAGATGAAAAAATGAAAAAAAAAGTGTTTAGCATAGTGCCTGATATACAGTAAGAGATTAATAAATGTTAGCTGCTTCTAACATTTAAGGAAATGTGTAGGCTGAACTGTGTGTTGGTAGGTCTGTATTTCACTCCTCAAGAGCAGAAAGGGAAGACATTCCAACCAAAGAATAGGCCCTCTTCTCAAGTGCTCAGAGCTAACCACACAAGGCCTTTTTTTGGGTGGTAAATTATTAAGAAAAGGCATATGTGTTGAGAAAATATCTTGAGTGTATTTTTTTGTACTGCAGTTATGAGATATTCAGCTTTCCATTTGGTAGCCAATATAACATAACTAAAGTCCATAAATTCATTTCATAAATATTTTCTGAGTGTCTGTGTTACAGGCACTGTCCTGGTGCTAGGGATACTGCAGTGAACAAGAGTGATTTCTTTCTAGTCTTGTTCCTATTTATGTTCCTATTCTCATCAAATTTATATCCTAATAAGAAGGACTTATAGTAAATAAGAAAACAAAGAGGATATATTTCATATGGTGTTAAGCACTATGAAGAAGATAATAGCAGAATACTGTGGTAAACAGTGGCCGAGTATGTGCATTTCATAATTTTGACCAAGTGGCTAGGAAGTTTACTCTGAAGAGGAGACAAATGAAGCTGAGACCTTGAGGACAAAAATGACATTAGCTTTGGAAAGATTTGGGGGAAGAGAATGCCAGGCAAGAGAAGAGCGATTATGAAGGCTCTGAGGTGGATTCAGTGCACTCAAGCAACAGAAGTCTGTTGTGCCTGTTGACACAGAGAGAATGATGATGATGACATAGTAGGAAATGAGGTTGGAGAAGTAGCCTGGGGCCAGATGGTAACTTGCAGATCATGATAAAATGTTTGGATTTTATTTTAGATGCAGCGGGAAGCCTTTAGAAGATTTTAGGGAGGAGAGTGACGAAAACTAACTTATATATATATATTTTTTCCTTTTTGTCTTTTTTCGTGACCGGCAC